AGCTTTAGTAGACTTAAAATATGTTGATATGGGTCTTTGTGAGAGCTATGTTATGGGCAAACAGAAACGAGTTAGTTTCACACAGGCTGCCAGAGAACCGAAGAAAGTGCAGTTGAAAATAGTCCATACAGACGTCTGGGGACCATTTCCAGTTTCATCACTTAGTGGATCTGTGGATCAAAGTACTACGTCACCTTCATTGATGACTTCAGCAGGAAGGTATGAGTTTACTTTTTGAAACACAAGTCAGATGTGTTTGTCACCTTCAAAAAGTAGAAAGCTGAAGTTGAAAATCAGACTGGCTTGAAGGTCAAATGTCTGAGGTCTAACAATGAAGGAGAGTACAACAAATCATAGTTTAAAACATTTTGTGCAGCTGAGGGAATTAGATTAATAAGAACAATTCCCGGTAAGACAAGACAAAATGGTATTGTAGAAAGGATGAACAGAACATTGAATGAGTGAGCAAGAAGCATGAGGATTCATTCTGGACTACTAAAGACATTCTGGGCTGATGTTGTGAACACAACAACATATTTGATTAATAGAGGGTCGTCAGTACACTTGAAGTTCAAATTACCCAAAGAAGTATGGACAGGAAAAGAACTCAAGTACTCTCACTTGAGAACTTTTGGTTGTACTGCGTATGTTCATGTGATCTAGAGAAGAGAGATAAGCTTGATGCTAAGGCTATGAAATGCTACTTCATAAGCTATGGCTCTAACATGTTCGGGTACAGGTTTTGGGATGACAAGAATAGGAAAATCCTAAGACACTGTGATGTGACCTTTGATGAAAATGTCCTGTACAAGGACAAAGAGAAGATAAACTCTGAGACTACAAAGCAAGTGAGAGTTGAACTTGAGTGACACAAAAATTCACCTAGTGATGTTACAGCAGAAGCTCAAGAAACTCCTGATCCTATTGCTGAAGAACCAGACGTGGAACAAGTTACACTTGAGCAAGTGTTGAGGAGATCATCCAAAACTATCAGAGCACCAGATAAATATTCACCCTCATTACGTTCCCTGGAACATGAGCACATGGCATCAATTTCGTACGCTTCTGCAGTTGGGAGTTTGATGTATGTTATAGTCTACACTAGACCTGATATAACACGTCAGAGGGAGTTGTTAGCAAGTACATGGCAAATCTAGGAAAAGAACATGGGGAAGCTGTGAAGTGGCTTCTGAGATATCTGAGAGAGGTACATTCAATACTTCACTCTGTTATGGCAATGGCAAGATAGTTCTACAAGGTCTTATGGATGCTGATCTGAGTGGAGATGTAGACTCTAGCAAGAGCACATCTGGATATATCTACACTATAGATGGAACAGCAGTGAGTTGGATGTTCAAGCTTCAAAAATGCGTTGCTCTTTCATCTACTGAGGCTGAGTACGTGGCAATTGTTGAAGCTGGAAAGGAGATGATATGAATGGTAGACTATCTAGAAGAATTAAGCATGAAACAGTGCAAGAAGATTCTTTATACAGGTATTCAGAATGCTATACAGCTGGTGAAAAACCCAGTCTATCATTCAAGGACATAACACATTAGAAGGCGATACCATTTCACTCGCAGGTTAGTGGAAGAAGGTGATATGTGTTTGGGGAAGATAGAGGGTGCAAAGAATCCGGCTATGTTGATGTTGGAAAATTGAGGTTATGCAAAGCCTTAATAGGTAAAACTTTGAAAATGTACTTTCTATTCTCCCTATTCTCTCTCACATACTCATCCATACAAATCCTATAGCCAGAGTTCTCCTTGCATTCTCTCTCTCCTATTTCTTTGTGTTCATCTAGATTGAGTGTGTATCAAATAGTCCTGGTTGAGTTATGAAATATTCGAACTTTTAACCTCAGTCGGTGGTCCATGTTTTATGTAGTTGAGTTATGCTCATGTTGATTTTTTTTAATTATTTATAATTAACTAAGAAATTAACTTTTCAATAAATTTGATGCTTGAAAAAACCTAATGAATTTCGCACATCTAGACCATTAATCTCGCAACGATGCATGAGAAAGATTTAAGAGTCTACTACACCGTTACCCACCTCTCACAAACTACCACATTGTATCCAAATGAAGACCTTAACTTGAACAAAATTATGTAAGTTTGTGTCGATTCATCGATTAATAATCAATTATTTAATAAAAACCAAATTGAAAATTAGTAAAATTAAAATAATTAAAAATTGATTAATAATCAATTCTTTTTCCATATAAATAGTATTAATTATTAAGAATTGATTAGTGAAAATCAATTAATTTATGGTAATTGATTCGTATTATTAGATAAACAATTAATTACATATAATTATATTACTCATTATAATTCACACTAAACACAATTAATTAGGTTTAGTTAGATAATCATTTTAACTTTTTTTTTCTAATTATTATTTTTTATTTTAAGTTTATAAACACCGAAAACAATGAATCACTAGGATCTAAGTATATCGTCCTTGTTGTGCACAGACTAAGGTAACTAGCTAGCCTTCGCAACGGTTTCTAGTGTCTAGAGTTGAGGCACTATCTCAAGAACACACTCACAATCAGGTGAGGACGACATGATGAGTGCTAGCCTACTCATCATCCATGAGAGGTAGCTGATAAACCCATCCCACAAACTAAGGAGTTGCCCAAGGTTAGGGGTGCTACCCCTTACACGTACCAGCTCTGCTAACTACCCGCTCTCCCATAGTTCAGATCCATTGTGTAGGGTAGCTCAACTAAACTCTCTCACTTAGGTTACACAAATCCTAACGGGCTTCATGCTTAGCCCAATGGTACTAAACCCAAGCGAAAAGGGTAGTGGAAGTTCCACGGATGCTACGCCGTCTATTACCAGCCTACATGGTACATTTATTTCCTCTAGGGTCGTTGTGGCGGTTGTCTAGGTCTTTAGGGTGGTCTTGACGAAGTTCAACATCTCCAAGTTACGCGATTCCAACATCTTGAATCTGGACCGGTCAGAAGCACGGGATCTCACCCTTTGATCATCTCTCACGATTCCATAATGCTCGTCCCTTGGAAGCGTTTCGTCCTAAGTCGTAGACTAGCTAAACTATCACACACACCCTAGTCTTAGATTGTTTATACTACTAGTCATCTACGGGGAGAATCACACATTCAATCACCTTGAGCTAATATACAATCTATCATGCAAGCGAACATGCACATACTCAACTGGGCGATAACATCTCTCAAGAATATAGAGCGCAGATACACATAATCCTGTCCTCCAATCCAAGATAATAATGTACAAGCAATACAAAAATGAACAAAAACATGTGAGGTTCAATTCATCTATATCCGAATCCAAGAGCATATAATCACACAGTTAACCAATATTCTTTGGTACATGTCATACCAAGCTAGTTCTAGGGTTGGTTTTATTAGCATGCATGAAAATCCAAACGATCCCTACAAGTATTACTTCTTAAGTCTGTGTGATTACTTACTAGTTTGACGAGTGTCTTCCCGAGTAAGATTTCAAATCAAGGAGTCTAAAAATTTCAAATTTCCTTCGGAGGGGCCTAATTCACATTAAAATAAGGTTAGTATAAAAAACGGGACATAAGGGTAGAAAATAGGGGCGGTCCATGATTCGGATCAGAATTTAGAATCCACTAGGATATGGTCACGTTACTTCTCACTTTTAAGAGTGAAAACTATCTCACAAATTAACACGAGTCCTTTCAGCATAGTTTATCCTAACTCACGTGTATCCTAAGAAAATTCCCAAAAAGGACCACTAGCTTCCACCTTGATTCGTCCCAAAACCACATCTTATTGGGAGAGCCACCACTTTGATATCATTTATAACACCCTATGTCCATGATTCGGACCAGGATTTAGAATATGAATTTGGAATTTGATAACCCCTACGTCTCCAACGACAAGGTCACATTACTTCCTCTTCACTTCGAAGAGTGAAGACTATTCCCACCGACGAACATGAGTTCCTAAAACATGCTTTATCCTCACTCACATGCATCATAGGAAAATTTTCGAAAAAGACCAACACTTCCACCTAAGTTCGTCCCCAAATCAAATCTTATTGGGAGAGGTACCGCTCTGATACCATTTGTAACACCTCATATCTAGGGTTTGAATAAAGATTCAGAATATGTATTCAACACCTGATAGCTCCTATATCTCCAGCAGTAGGATCACGTTTCTTACTCCTCGCTTCGAAAAGTGAAGACCATTCCCAACGACCAACATGAGTTCTTTCAACATGTTTTGTCCTCACTCACATGTATTACAGGAAATTTTTTGAAAAAGACCACCAACTTCTACCTAATTCGTCCCCATATCACATCTAATTGGGAGATGTACCGCTATGATACAATTTGTAACGCCTTATATCCAGGGTTCAAATTAGGATTTTGAATATGGATTTGACACCTGATAGCCTATACATCCCTAGCAACAAAAGTGAAGACTATTCCCACCGACCAACATGATTCCTTTCAACATGATTTGTCCTCATTAACATGCATAATTGGAAACTTTTCGAAAAAGACCACCAACTTCTGCCTAAGTTTGTCCACAAATCACATCTTATTTAGAAAGGTACTGCTCTAAGACCATTTGTAACACCCCATATCTAGGGTTCGAATTAAAATTCAGAACCCAGATTCGACACCTGATAGCCCCTACATCCCCAACAACAGGGTCACGTTTCTTACTCATTTCTACTAAGAGTGAAGACTATCTCCACAGACCAACACGAGTCTTTTTAGCATGCTTTGCCCTCACTCACTTTCATCCTAAAAAAATTTCCTAAAAGGACTACCAATCTGCTTTGGTTCATCATTGACTCATATCTTACTTAGAGAGCTACCGCTCTAATACCATTTGTATTACCCCTTGTCTAAGATTCGAATTAGGATGCCTACAAACTAACATGATTTCTTTCAACATACTTTGACCTCACGCACATGTATTATCAGAAAATAAATACATTTGGCTTTGGAGTTTCTATGATTGAGACATCGAAAAAGAAGATATATCTTATTAGTATATCTAGTAATTTTTAATTCTCTGAGGCTTTTTTAGCCATCATATCTTCAAATGTCGGGACTATTGTTATTGACTTATGTTTCCCAACTAATACATCACTTTTATTAGATAAAAAAGAAACAAACGCTCAAACTCTACAACTTAACATTCTTCGAAATCACATCAAAATATATCTCATTCTCTTCGAGTCTTTTCTGCAGATCAGTTGGTCCAAACACAATACCAGGAGTAAGAACTCCTCCTTTCGGAAGAACCTCACGTTTGCTTAGAACAATCAAAGCACATTGAACCAGGATTATCGGGGTAGCAACATATCCAACCTCAGGTCCCATCACTCTCGTTACAATTTTCATATCTACTTCTCTACTCCCTTCACCATTCTTGTTCCTATAACCATAACCAACAAACCACATCTTGAATGATGCGCTATCGACCTCGTCTTTTGAAGGACCCTTCTTCTCGAAATAGCCGAGACTAAAAACCGAAGGGAATGTCAAGAGAAGCCACCTCCCGAACGAGCTTTTAGCCAACTTCCCCATGATCATACCAACTGCAATGATTTGGAGAATGTCAATCAATGACTTCGACCCAATTTTTACGCCGAAACGAGCTGGCTTCACCGACGACCAAAACGTCGTCCTCTGTTCGATCTCTTCGACACGCTCATTAACACCAGGAAGACCATGAGGGGTTTCAGCTAGAGAAGAGAGTGTTCTACGAACAACAGGGGAATCAGCTGAAGGTAATCTTACAGCCCAAAGGCCTGTCTCTTCGTTGTGTTCCACAAATTGTCCTTTTGGAGGACAAGGGCCCGGAATCTGACACAACAAAAATCATTATAGAACGGATCGAAGTTTTGATTAATGTTTTGTAGAAATTTCCTCACCTTTGGCCGAGGTCTTCTAGCCCTCGAACGCCGCAATTGCACTAATTGGTCGGCATTAGCAACACCCAAAACAGCCGACTCAAATGTCCCAAAGTTCCCAACAATTTTGTTCTTGGATTCCAAGCTCAAATACGCCTCGATCCGGTTCGGCGCCGATTCCCCAACCCACTGCTTGGAATTGAACATAAACCCAAATTCAGCCGGAACAGAATCGAACCCACAAGCCGAAATCACCAACGAACCATTCTCCACCGACCTCTCATGATAATTAGCCTCCATTTTCTCCATGAACTCCGGCTCCCCACAGATGTCCAAATAATCGCACCCTGTCTCCACACACGCCGCCACCACAGGCTCGCCGTAGCGGCGGAAGGGTCCGACGCAGTTGAGGATGAGCTTGGTTTGGGTGCAGAGGCGGTGGATGGATTGTGGGTCGGTGATGTCGGCGATTAGAAGCGGAATGGGCGGCGGGGAGTGGAGATTGGCTGCCCATTTGAGGGTTTCCGACAGTTTTGTCGGATTACGACCGGCGAGAGCGAAGGATTTGAGAGGGGAAGAAGGAGAAGGGTTGAGGAATTGGAGAGCTTGTCGGACGACGTGCTTGCCGGTGAAACCAGAGGCGCCTAGGATTATGAAATCGTAGAGTGAACTCTCCATTGTTTAAGCTTCCAATCTCACAAATTCGGTTGATTTGCTGTTAATAAATACAAGTAAATCAACTACTTACAAGTTCACAATTTCATTAAATGGTATTTGCTACTTAAACGTAGTAATTCTAGATTTAATATGTGCAACCAACTCCGATTTCTGGAAGGGATGCATTTATTAGATAAAATGTCGATGCGGGCTGTGCCTGTTGCTCCGATGATTTATGATAATTCGACCGATTGCACGACCATCGTGCCGGTGATGCATCATTCAAATTTTTGCCCTATCAATTTTCGATGGTAGGATAGTGGATTTTTGCCCGATTATTGTTATAAATGATCTATCAAGTACGTGCTTATAGCGAGCCTCCCTAGACAATAATTTCATATTTACATATTGTATTAACTCTCATTATTTTTTCATTAATTATAATATTCCATTTAGGTAGATTTTGTGACCACTATTTTACCAACCCTATCAATAGAGAATTATATTTTAAGTTGTATTTGCTCTTTACTTTCTTTTTTTTTCTTTTTTCTTGTGTTATAATTTTCATCCATCTTTAATTTTTTATTTTTCGTTTCAATTTGGTGAGGTGCATAAAGTTGCCACATCAGCTAATTTAGGAAATGATCATGGGTTTATAAGTGAGGAATACTAACTCCATTGGAATAAGGCCTTTTGGGAAAGCCCAAAACAAAGCCATGAGAGCAATTCCTAATAGGGAAAGAAAGCAAAGTTTAGCGAGATTTCTATCGGCCGACCCCTAAAAGGGAGGGGAAAGAAAGCAAAGTTTAGCGAGATTTCTATCGGCCGACCCCGAAAAGAGAGGGGAAAGAAAGCAAAGTTTAGCGAGATTTCTATCGGCCGACCCCGAAAAGAGAGGGGAAAGAAAGCAAAGTTTAGCGAGATTTCTATCGGCCGACCGCTACATAAACCAGTGGCGGAGGAGGAGCTCCACTTCATTCGTTGTTAAGCGAAGGTCTTAGAACTCCGAGTGTAACACCTGAGTCCCAATGAGAAATTAAATACCTGGTTGAATTCCTGAGATTTTATTTAGGTCATTAAATGTCAAATTTCAAGAGAAGGTAGAAAAGAAAAATACTTAGAAAATTCCACAAATACAAGAAAAATAGTAAAAATTTGAGAGAATTCGGTCAAAGTCACCCGAGGGGCAAAATGGTCCTTTTGTTCCTTTGCCGGTGTGGATGAACACTAATATGAAAATTAGTGAAGAGATAAGAAAAAGAAAAAAAAAATAAAGGGAGTGAAAAACAAGAGAAAATCAAATTTAGGGTTGAAACTGTTGGGGGTACTTCAATCCGACCACAAGGAGGCGTTTTTCAGCCATAGACCCTTCATGAAAGTTTTTCAGAACCATGAGGAGAGCTATTTTGGGCTTTTGAATCACTCAAGTTCATCGAGAACCAAGGAAGAACAGAAGGTATGGATTTCGAGTTCTTGGTCTCGGTTTTCTCTCAAATCCACGAGTTTTACTTGGATTTGTAAATATGGATTACAGTTATATGAATTTGGTGAAGAAACCAAGTTGATTCAAGTTATGTACGAACCATCACAACTACAAAATTCAATAGAAAATTCTAGAGAATGCATCCGCCAAGGATTGAAGCCAAGCGCGTGGAGAGGTAGTGACATACACATCAACATATGAAAATCGATAGAAACTTGAAAGAAGTGTATACGGCTAGAATCGAAGACGAGAATGCGAGGATGAGTGTGGCCACGTGTCAACTTTAGATAAAGCATCTGAAAAATAGTTGAAATTGCATGGAGCAAGACTCTGAAGTTGCATATGATTGAGACTGCCCTTGTCACGGTCATGCTTGTCCAAGGCGTGTCACTTGTGAGCGCATGTCGAATGTCCCGTTCATGCTTGTTTAAAGCGTGTTGTCCATGGCCGCATGCACGTTCCAAAGGTAGGTCATTACTATTCTTGTCATATTATTACGGAGGTGTATGATCATTCAAAATCATGCCTGCACCTGTTAGAGATAAAATGCTCTAAAATGTACAATAGGGGATGTGACTGGTTATCAATTCTTACTATCTGGGTTATGTGTATTAAAGTTGTGGGATGTGACGAGAAAGAATAAATACGATAGGGCGATATCCACTTTTGGTGGGTGGCTTATTGTTGCTCCGACTTTTACTTGCATAGGGTGCTTCTTCTTCAATCTTTTAGCGTGATACCTCTTATTTGCTTAGTCATGGCTTCTTGGCTAGCTAGCAAATTTTCAAACTCTACAATGGTTGAATGGGTCATATTTGTATAACAATAACAAAACTTCTATATTCTGGTAGCAATCTATGGATGATGATCCTCTTCATATGAACTTCTCTGATGACGAACTCGGAACTAGTTCAGTAATCTCTTAACAGATCGACTTGTCACTCTAGAAGTATTGAACAATCGTCATGTTGGCGTTGTGAGATTAATGGCAACTCATTCTCTAAAAGTTGTAGCCTCGTATCGTTCTTCTTTGAGAAATGTGTCACGAACATGTCTCATGCTTCTTTCAGAGTCTTGTTGTCCCAAATGTGCTCCAGCATATCTTCTTCAGCTGTGGTCTTCAAGGTAAATTTTGTCTTGCCTCATTTGATTCTCCATTTCTGAAAGGTGTCATTAGTATCTTCTTCCAGTTGACCAATTTTGCTTTCCGCCAATGACCTCCCAAAGGTCTTGTCCTTGTAGATAAGACATCATGTATGTAGTTCATGTGTTATAGTTGTTATTATTGAGTTTATTGATTCCTCCGATGACTTGGAGATCACTCATCATATTAACAGTACCTTAGTAGTACCAAACGAGATTTTACGAAAATGAATTTGCAGAGTCACGAACTAGTCACGTCAAGAAGAAACTCACTCACTTCTAATGTAGAAGATCAGGCAGAGCTACTAATGTCTTTTGACTGAGCAATTCGCCTTGTGAGAGGAAATCCTTAACGGAGTAAAAACGGCCAAAGAAAATTGTTGGAAGAAGAAAATAACAGAAAAACATGAAAGAGACAATATGTATTGAGATTATGCTAAAGACCATTTGTTTATTAGATTGTCATACTTAAATAACAATTCTAAGCTAAAAATGGAAATGAGTGGCAACTCAATTAACGCACTTCAATTGGAGATGCCCATTCCACTCAACTTAATTTTGTGGAACTTAAAAATAGAAATTTATCTAACAATCTTCTCCTAAAGTCCTGTGGTATACTATCTTATTGATCGGAGTTCTTCAAATTTCACCTGCGCCAGAGATTTGGTAAAGATGTCTCCAAGTGGTTCCTCTGTTCGGATGAGATCAATCTTGATGTACCCCCAATCTACATATTCCCAGATGTAGTGGAATCTGATTTCTATGAGCTTGCTCCGGTCGTGCAAAATTGGATTCTTGATCAGGAAGATCGTAGCTTTGTTGTCCACGTATAACATTGGTGGATCGCCTTCTCTTCCGATGAGTTCTTCCATCAGCTGCGCAAGCCAAACCCCTGTGTGGCCGCTGTCGAAGCGACGATGTACTTTGCTTCGCAAGAAGACAGAGCAACTACCTTATGTTTGGTTGATTGCCAACAGATTGCGCCGCCTGAGAGGAAGTAAATCATCCCGCTAGTACTCTTATGATCATCAACGTCATCGGTCATATCACTATGACTGTAGCCGACCAACTCAAGCTTCTTCTTTCCTCTAAAAAGACCCGTACATATTGCGTATCTTTTGTATTTTTATGTTATTTTCTTCTTCCAACCATTTTCAATTTTCAATTTTCTTCAGCTATTTTTTGGTCAAGGATCTCCTTTCACCACGACATCAGCTACAACCATAAATTATTTCTTCCATGTTTGGGTTTCCAAGCATAAAAAAATGATGAGAGGTTTTGTGCTTTTTAAAACCCATGTTTTTTTTTTTTTTTTTTTTATT